CTTATCAATGGAGAAAAGATTGAAGTTGTCAAGGACTTCATTCTTCTTGGATCAATTATCAACACTCATGGAAGCAGCAGTTAAGAAATCAAATGACGTATTGCATTAGGCAAATCTGCTGCATATGACCTTTTTTAAGTGCTGAAGAGCAAAGATATTAGCTTGAGGACTAAGGTGTGCCTGACCCAAGCCATGGTATTTTCAATAACCTCATATATATGTGAAAGCTGAACAGTGAATAAGGAAGACTGTAGAAGAATTGATGCATTTAAGTTATGGTGTTGGAGGAGAATATTGAAAGTGCCATGGGCTGCCAAATAAGTGTAGCCAGAGTGCTCCTTGGAGGCCAGGATGGTCAAACTTCATTTCTCATACTTGGGACAGATTGTCAGGGAGCAGTCTCTGGAGAAGGATGTCATGTTTGGTAAGGTGGAGGGTCAGAAAGAAAGAGGAAGACCCCCAGCAAGATGGATTGGCAAAGCGGCAGCATCGATGGGCTCAAGAACGGCAACAATTGTCAGATAGGCACAGGACCGGGCAGTGTTTCATTCTGTTGTGCATAGGGTTGCTAGGAGTCGGTACAGACTCAATGGCACCTAACAACAACAAACAGAAACTGGTACTAATTGATCTTGCAAAGGCCTTTTTCTCAATCCCGTTCCTGGTACCAGCTGCATGAATACTCTCTTTTATGAAAATCAACACAAGGATAGTCCTTATGAGTTGGAGTTGTAGCTATTACAACTGTTTGAACTCTCCAACATGTTATGTCCTTCCATAGTCCTTGATAACAATCACTACTCCTCCTTTCTCCCAAGTCCCAGAGTTCTGGAACACGCTGCAATGTTCCACAAAATTCACAACTGCTAAAAGAATGGCTCACAAAATTATGGAGACTGGCAAGTCGTGAATCCATTCTTCTGAGACCAGTGTGCAGGTCTAACAAAAGGTTGTTGATGAATGAGGCTGCAGGATCTGGCGAATCAGGTCGGGCAAAAGTCTCATAAACTGGAGGTCATGAACTCAATGCAAGATCCACGACAAGAGAGAGCAAGCTTTTCCAAAGCAGTCTTATAAACTGAAGTTAGACCATGCCCAAAGGTAAACTAAGGGTTGTGACTGGAGTCACACCCTTTACTAAGGTGGGGGAATTCGTAATACTTAGATTCACTGTAACTCTTACTCCTTAGCCCCACCTTAGTGTTTACTCCTCAGCAATGTATTTAAAAAATGGGTCCATAATCACAAGCATAAAAGCGAGGGTTTGCAATATATCACAAAATGGGGAAATTTGGCTAGCAGGCCATAATAAATAATTAGTGCCCTACAATAGCCATTGATGCCCTCATTTACCTCCATGTATATCTCTTCTTTGGAGTTCTGTTGTGGTTCTGAGGGATAAAGCACTGTGGGATAAGGTCTGTTTGAACAGCAAGGTCAGTGGTTCAAACTGTTCACCAGTTGTTCCTTGGAAACCCTATACAACGTAGGTATGAGTAGAAACCAACTCGATGGCACTTAACAACAACATTTGTCTTCTTGGAGTTCTGGTGTGGCACTGTAAGATAAGCACTGGGCGGCAAGACCAGTCTGAATTGCAAAGTCAAATTTTCAAATCCACCAGTCTCTCGGAAACCCCATATAGGATCTCTATGAGTTTCAACTGACTCAAAGACACTTAACAACAACATATCTCTTCTTGGGGGTCCTGGTGTGACACTGTAGGATAAGCACTGGACTGCTAACCAAAAGGTCAGGGGTTCAAACTCAGCAGCCGATCTTCAGAAACCCTATACAGGTTCTCTGTGTGTAGGAACTCACTAGACGACACTTCACAACAAACCCAACCTATCTTTTCTTAATATAGGCTGACATCAGATATTTCTTAACAGATTCATTCTGTAACCAGAAACCTTCATTTAAATGTTAGGTTGGACCTCATCATAGCAACGCATCCTGCCTATTACGTCAGAAAGCTGCATTATGCTTTCAAGTTGTTATGCTATAATCCTCCACCAAGACTTAGTTACACCAGTGCCATCCCTCTGCAGAGATGTTTATACTGCTCCAGTATGCTGCCCTCTGATTCACTGCATCAAGTTATATCAATGCATCAAGATGCCTTTCTTGATGCAGATAATTATTTTTGGTGGCAGAAAAATATTTCTGAATTGAAAAGACCAGAGCTTCTGAGCATAATTAAATAAACTAATTTTCTTAAATGACACAAAAGGGTTTCAAGAACCTGTGTTATTTCTGGGCTCTTCATAGTGACTTTAAAGGAAATGGAATGAACCATTTCAGATTAATGAACCCATCTGTCTTTGAAATTATCAGTTTTTTCTTTTATTAGGAAATGTGAAATTAGGTAGAACTCAGCTGCAAAACATAAGAGAAAAGGAGGAGGAAAAGGCTGACAATATGAAGCAGTACTTAATTATTTCAATACAGGCAATTAATCATTTATGTATACTTTTTTTTTTTTTTTAAAGCAGGGAACTGGAAAGATGGTGTTTGTTATCGTGGAACTAACCCTCAGTTTTTAATCTTTAGTAAAATTTCATCTTTGTAGAAAACTTTGTTACTCTTTCCATTAAGTTCAGTCCCCTCTCCATCTCTTAGAACTCTTATTTTGAAGTCATAATAATTCTTTAAATTATCCAACTTAAAAAAAAAAAAAAAAAGTCCTGTTATTTTAAAGGACCAAATAATCATCATTTTGCACTTTGGCTTTACCTTTAAATATGATGTGAATGTGGACTTAAGTACTCCAATCATTTGATATTTTTTGAACTACAAGAAGAACCCTGATGAAGTTGTGGTTAACATGGAACCCATCACAGGCTCTGCGGGGAGAAAGATGGGGCAATCGGTTTCTATAAAAATTTAGTCTTGGCTACCCTTTAGAGACTCTAAGACTCGAATGGATACAACAGCAATTATTTCGTTTTGGTTTTAAGCACCCTAAGGACAGGATTCCAAGTATACATTTATAATAAAAGTTTTCAAAAAGTACTTTTTTGAATAAGCGCACCCATTTTATAAAGCTTTAGGTACAAAGAGTTCATATTCCTCAAAAAATCTCATTCTTAGATCTCGCCCTCAAATGCACTGACTTCTGGGGCAGCTTTTTTGTTTCTTAATTCTTCACCAAGCCTCTCCTGCATTTAATTTTGTTGCATTGCTTGTTGACGAATGAATGCTCTCATGTGCAGCAATCTTCCACATTTTCAGCTTCACTAGGGTTCCCCGAAGCCCCAACCCAAGTCCTGCAGCTTGATTCCCTAGCTTCCTGCCTCCATTGCCGCACATAGAGGGATTTATAAATTTCCTTCCATGGTACTTTCCTGTTCCCTGGCAGAGGGGAGGACCACTGGCCTTGTTCTTCAAGTTTGAACAGGTCAGGAGAGTACATGTGACTGGATAGCGAGGGGGTAAGCTAGAGAAGGACGCGGGCGGTTTCCTTTGTAGTCCGGCAGGCCTAGGGTGGACTGGAGCCTGGAGGTGAGAGGGAGGCGTGAGAGAGGCGCGCTACACCTCCGCGGGCAATTCAGATGGGGAGTTTTCATCGGGATAGCAGATAGCTTCTTCCAAGAGGCATGACGGGTGGTGGTTGTGGGCGGTGGAGTCGTTCCGACTCTTAGCTACCCTGTATAGGGTTTCTGAGTCTACAAAGCGGCTGATAGTTTCCAACTGCTGACTTTGAGGTTACCAACTCAATTCGTAACAACAACACTAAGACTTTTGGGGTCTGAGCGAATCTCCTGGACGCTGGGCTGGGCGCGGCAGGCGCAGCAGGAGCGGGCGGGGAGGGGCGGGACGGGACGGGGGCGGTTCTGCGCAGCCGAGTATCCTGCGGGCTCTGGGGACATCCTGGACCGAGGCGTGGCCCGAGACCCTGAGCGGCTTCTGGTTAGTCGAAACCAGAATCGGCTGCATTTCTCCCTAGCCGCTCTGAGCAACTTCTCCCAACTAGAATTCAGTCGGCATATTGCATCTGCTGGAAAAGACTCCCCGAGGGAAAGCATCTGCTCCACCTGCTTCTCCTGAACGTGGTGGGTTTGCCTAGGGCTACACAGTCGCCAGAGTAACTCAGCCCGCTGGAGGAGAGGACTGGAAAGTGTCTGAAAAGTTTACTCAGAATCCGCACAGGGTATCGGCAGCCATCTAGGTGCGGCTCCTGAGCTCCAAGGCCCCAGTGGGTGGCTGCGTTAGTTTCCAGCAGGAACTTAGCCTTTTTTGGTCTACAGCCGCCTGTGTTCCGAGTCTTATTTCCAGAGCGCCTTGGTGCGACCTACTCCGTGCAAGCCTTTGATTTCTGTTCCGCAGTATCCCAGTCAGCCGCAGTGCCCGCCCTGAGCACTCCGCAAAGAGCTGCGTCTGGAAGAGAGGTCGCTGGAAGGACTAGGGTCAGAGTTGTCATTTGGCTCAGCATCCATGTTTCTATCATGGCTAACAGGACTAGGGGCTGGGATGGTCTTCCTGCACTTCGTGCAGAAACTCCTGTTCCCTTACTTTTGGCAAGACTTCAGGTACCTGCTGAAGGTGGTACGCTATGGAATTCAATTGGAGATATACAAAATGAGAGGCGACTTGGTTACAGTGCTAGACAAGTTCTTGAGTCATGCTAAAAGGCAGCCCCACAAACCGTTCATCATCTATGAGGGAGAAATCTACACCTATCAAGATGTGGACAAAAGGAGTAATAAAGTGGCCAATGTCTTCCTGAAGCATTCCACCCTGAAAAGGGGGGACACTGTGGCCCTACTGATGAGCAACGAGCCTGATTTTGTCCACGTTTGGTTCGGGCTGGCCAAGCTGGGCTGTGTGGTAGCCTTTCTCAACTCCAACATCCGCTCCAAATCCCTCCTGCATTGCATCCATAGCTGTGAACCCAAGGCCCTGGTGGTGAGCCCAGGTAGAATATGGGGTTATTGCACGTGTTTTCAGGCTCTGCCTTCCTGCCCTGTCCTCCTATTTTTGTTAGAATGGTTATCAATTAATGGTCTGGGTGCTTGATAAAGTGTGCATGTTAAGGTTATAATATGTTGTTGTTGTGAAATGCCGTCGAGTTGGTTCCAAACCATAGCGATCCTATATAGGGTTTCTGAGGAGCAGCTGATGAGCTTTGCTGTCTGGCACGTTAACCCACAACGCCACACCAGGACTCCAAAGGTTATATAATGGTTCAAAAATGCCATTACTGTGTGTGTTGTTAAGTGCTGTCGAGTCATTTCTGACTCGTAATGAACCTGTGTAGGGTTTCTGAGGAGCAGCTGTTGAGTGTGAACTGCAGACATCCTGGTTCGCAGTCCAAAACTGATCCTACAGCGCCACACCAGGAGTTAGAAAATATCAAGGTTGTGTATGTAAAATTTTATGAAATCTTTTCTTCCTGCTCTTTTGGGAAGGGACACTTTTCTCATTGGTACTTCAGTGTTTTCAAGAACACGGAAAGCTGTAACATTGCAAGTTCTAAATTTGATCAATGGTGACCAAATATTGATGAATAGAAAGTTACCTTGATTTCTTTGTGGAGTATCTACCTGACTTTATAGTTAGACTGTCGAAGTTGACTGTGTTTACATCACAATTATGTTTAGTTTGAAATACCGTGTTGTTGTTATTGTTGTTGTTAAGTGCGGTCCAGTCAATTCTGACTCATGTTAAGTGCTGTCCAGTTGGTTCTGACCCATAGCGACCCTGTATAGTGTTCCCGAGGAACGGATGGTGAGCTTGAACCGCCGGCCTTCTGGTTCAAACCGACTTTGCAGTACAGTGCATTAGCCACAGCACCACACCGGGACTCCAACTCTGTATAGGGTTCCCAAGGAGCGGCTAATGAACGTGAACGTCGAAACTTGTGGTTCAGACTGACCTTGTAGTTCCAGTGCTTTATCCTACAGCACCTTATTTACACTCATTATGAAGAAAAGTCTTCAGTGCTTTGTTTAACATTTTTAAAAGTTCCTAGGAAAATGAGTTGTTAACAAATGAAATTGAATTATTAAAAATGTTATTTATTTGGTATAATGTAAATGAGAATCCTGGTGAGGCACTATAGGATAAGCACTCCACCACAAGGTCAGTTTGAACCACAAGGTCTGTAGTTCAAATCCACCAACTCCTTGGAAACCCTATATAGGGTTGCTAGGAGTCGTAATCTACTTGAAGGCACTTAACAACAACAACAAATGGTTCAGTGTATTCTTGTTATATGGGGAGGGCTAGGACCATTGTGAAAATATTTAAGTATTTTGGAATAATGTTGTTTTAAGTGCGAACAAGTCATCTTTGTGGAGCATACAGCCTCATCTTTCTTCTGAGGAGCAGCTGCTGGACTTGAACTGTGCACCTTGTGGTTCTTATTCCAGCGCTTATCACGGGGAACCAGATATATAAAAATCCATTACTGTCAATTTTGACTCATAGTGACCTTGTAGGACAAAGTAGAACTGTCCCTTAGAGTTTCCAAGTCTTTACAGAAGCTGTTTCTCACTTGGGGCAGCTGATGACTCCAGGGATCCTTAGTAGATATGAACTGATATCTAAAGAGGTTTTAGATTCACAGAGCAATGTGGAAAAATAATCACTTTTGTATACCATTGATCCCTAATGTATAGAACATTCTAGATAACATTTATCAGATTATATTTGTACATCACATGAAAATGAATTAGGCAGCAAACAGAAAAAGGCTAGTTGTTAAAAACTATCACTGTTTCTAACTCCTTTTGTCCTTCCAGCTCAACTGTGACCTAACAAAGTAGCAAAATGTTTACCCTTAATCACCGATTTTATCTAATTTAAGATACAAGAGTTGAGGAACCAGAAAGCCTCCTTTGTGTACTTTTTGCCCATTCTTTCACTCAACAGTTATAGCTTCCAAGACTGAATTTTAGGCTCTCACCTTGGAATGAGGCTAAGTGATGTGATACATTTTCAGCGCACAGTAGCAATGAGTAGAAAAAAAATCACAAAAAACAACTAGTCACACAGCTTTTTGATAACTTTAGAGAAACAATGTTTACCAGGGGAAGCATTGTATAAGAGGAAAGTAAAAATGTGAATGCATCGGGGAAAAGTGTCACTGTTTATCTCTGGGTGTACTGACATTTTATCACACTTCTTACATTATTACTCATTCTAATTTATATTGCTGAATATCTAGAGTAAATGTAAATCCTAAATTATGCAAATGTAAATCCTAAAAATGTAAATCCTAAAAATTGATAAAGCCACAAACTGTCTTTACAGAGCAAACTAAGAGGTCCGCAGTACTCCTGAATATATTTCTCTGGTCATGATGTTAAGGCAAACCTGCAAAGCATCCCATAACCTTTCTCCTGAGGGATTTCTCTTAAATTACACCGGACTAGTTACCTTTCAAAATAGAGCACTCAAATTTGCTACTGACTGAATTGTTGCTTAATTAGAACCAATTACTTTTGCTGTTTTACTTCAGCCTACTCTCACTTTACTTGCCAAATACTAATTGCATTGTTTCCTTGTTTATGTTTTTAGCACCAATAGTATGATTGTATGAAGAGCCACTTTGGGATACTGGATTTTTAAGCCAAAACCATTTAATCTATTTGATCTATAAGGAATGAACTTTGAAATTTGCTGATCATTCTTTTTAGAGTATCTCCAAAGCATATAAATTATATCTGGTTTTCAAAGATGGGACAATTATATTTTGATCAATTAGTAAGTTTGTCTTTTGGTAAGATATGGCACAAATCAAATTACTCAGTGTTTAAAACTCTAGTTTCAAATGTTATATTCTTGTCATTTTTAATCTAATCTGTGATATATGTTTGTGTGTGTGTAGCTTTTAGAACCCTAAAGTTCTGATTTCCTACATTCTCACTGGGCATTATTAAATCATAGTATCTCCAGGGAGAATGTACTTAGGTGGAGGTGGAGACAGGAGTCAAGTTTAGGTAGAGAGAAACCAGACAGACCTGGACTTCATTTGTAATCAGCCATTCTTATTTGAAATCCTGGTATGGTGCTGTAGGATAAGCACTGGAATGTACAGTCAGTTTGAACCACAAGGTTGGTAGTTCAAACTCACCACCTGACTCTCACAAATCCTACACAGCGTCACTGGGTCAGAACTGACTTGAAGGCACTTAACAAAACAAAACAAAACAAAACTCCTTACTTAAGTGATATAGATAAAATTATTATTTGGGTCTCATTTTACTTTATTTGTTAAATGTTGATAATATCATCTGCTTCGTAGTGTAATTCTTAGGAATAAATGACAGCTTTTACAAAGTGGCCAGTATAGTGATTGATATGAACTAACTAGATCCCTGGTGAATTGAAATAATTGCTACTATTATTATAGAGTCATCCTGGGACTGCTAATAGGGAATCTCATTTGGATTTTACTGCTACAACTTAATTTGGTGTTACTCATAAGAAAGACTAATAAATAGTATATTTGGAGTAGGACAAAAGTACTATTTTTCAGAAATTGTGTAGAACCAATTGAAAGCAGGTTTTATAGCGAGGCCAGATAGTATCTATAGTGATAGGTGAAGTTTCGATCATGGCAGATAGCTGTTGACTCTGTTTTCAGGAACGTGGAAAAGGACAAGCATCAGCTAAACCACTTGGTGACTGTTATTCTTGTGTTGTCATGAACAATAATAGAAACAGTTAACAACTGTTTGCTCAAGGCTGGCTGTACATAATGAACTTGCAGTGATTTTGAGGAGGTGAGGTTCAATAATATATCCTGGAAGGATATATAACTCAAACCCTTGTCTAATATGCATTACTGAACTCTATAAACAAACCTCAATTTATTGTAACTTGTTTTATCCTGCTTAGCAGATATTGTATATTTTACAAATTGAAGGGTTGTGGCAACCCTGCATTGAGCAAGTCTATTCATGTTATTAAGGAGCTCTGGTAGCGTAGTGGTTACGAATTGGGCCACGAACCTTAAGGTCAGCGGTTCGAAACTACCAGCCGCTCCGCGGGAGAAAGATGAGGCTTTCTACTCCCGTAAAGATTTACACCCTCGGAAACCCTGTACAGGGTCGCTATGGGTCGGAACCGACTCGACGGCACTTAACAACAACAACATTCATGTTATTATCCAATAGTGTATGCTCACTGTTACATTTTGCTTAGTCTCACAATACTTTTAAATATTTTCATAATGCTATCGCATTCTTTATAGACTACAGTATAGGATAAAAACAACTTTTATATGCAATAAGAAACCAAAAAATTCAAGTGACGTGCTTTATTGCAATATTCACTTTATTGTGGTGGTCTGGAATTGAACTCACGATATCTTTGAAGCTATGCCTATGTACTTGGACTATGTATCCAGTTGCTTCTGAGGCCATTAATCATATTTTGATAAAGTTGTGAAAACAATGTACATTCAAATTGTATGAAAATTGTTTTTTTAAATGTTGCCAATATTATCATTAGGTTTTCCACATATGGTGGTGGTAGTTGTGTGCCTACCTTGTGGTTGAAACCAACCTTGCCATCTAGTGCTCATCCTACAGTGCCACACCAAAAACATTAAAAAGTATATAAGATGAGTATTCCCTACCCTTATAGTCTGAAGACTCAACAGACTTGCAAAGAAGTCTAGTATCTGTGCAGTTTGGTTTAGAAGATGTGTCAGGTGGTCGCCCAAATTTCAGTGTTTACTAAAAATTAAAATGTTTTAAGTTAAACCTAGTCTTTTCCCCACTTTCAATTCTGACATTACCAGTAGCGTCTGCTTCCAAGATTCTCTACTGATTTATACCTTTCTCTTAGAACAAAAACAAAATGTTGGAATGCTTGTATATTACTTTAAAAAATTGTATATAATTATTTATAAATGCTTTGACACATTTAGTTATCACCAACATTGTTATCATCATAACAACAGTA